CTGTCTTTAAACTAAAAAGCCCCAGTACCTTCAGCTGACCTGCTCATGGCATAAACTTCATATCTTTTATTTTGGATGCTCCCTGGCAAACAACAACAATAACAACATTCATATTGCCATTTAAAGTTTGCAAAATGCTTTATGAATTATCTCATTTGATCCTCAAAACAACTTTCTAGAGTTTCAGTGGGTTCTGAAACCATCTGTTAAAAAATATGACACTGAATTATTTTGCAGTTGACTAACATGATAGAAGATGTATATTTATTAGTCCAATATCAATAAAAATCTTTGAGTAATTGGTGGATCCTTTGCATTAAAGCAATGAAAAATGATTATCACAATTTAATAAGCACAGCCAATGATTTATGAACCTGAGAGGTATCTTTTCCAGCCAAATATCAAAATAAAACTGAACACTGAACCACATCTTCAAACTACTATATCACAAAGTGATAAACCAAGATTTTTAAAAAAGTTATTACATTATTCTCACTTAAAGTATCATTTATATTCTGAGTGAGAACAAAAAGGTTTTGTACCATTAGTAAAATATTTTCAAAGCATTTCATATTTATCTTATCCTTACAAAATTCTATTTGTATAAAATGTGTAAAATATATATTAGTACAGTCATACTAACATGATTATAAGTGAAATAAATATATATGTACACACACATTAGAGAGCAGTAAACATTTTTTACTTAGAGTAAAGTGGGAGTGACAATAGCACCCACCTACCTCAAGAAGTGTCCTAAGGCTCAGATGAGGTAATTTATGTATTTATGCATGTATGTATGTATGTATGTAGGTAGGTAGGTAGGTAGGTAGGTAGGTTGGGAGGTAGGTAGGTAGGTATAGCAGCACTCTGCAAAGCTCTACAAATGTGAGTCACAACTATTAGGATCCAGGAAGTCATGGAGGTATACATTCTTTACTATTTTTAGATAAAACAAGCAAGAATATCTTGATATACTCAGTGAAAATCAAACAGATATTAACCATGTGTTTACTCTGCATCACGCATTGGGGACACGAGAATGAAAGAATTCCATTTCACACAAGCAGCTGGGGTAGGGGATCAGGAAAGGCTTCATGCATTAGATGCTAAGAAGCAGAGGTTAAGGAGAGAGAATGCATTCCAGAAATGTGGGATAGTCAATGAAAAGGTGTAGAGATGGCAGATGGAGCATTGTGTGTGAGGAACATAGAGATAGCCAGTGTGGAGGGAATCACACAGTGTAAGAGAGTGCATCATGTTTAATGAGGCTGAAATGATAGGCTGGGGCCAGATTTAGGGATTCAAAAGCTAAACAGAAGTTTCTATTGTATCCTAGGAGCAACAGGAAGCCACTGGAATTGACTGAAAAGAGGTATGACATGTTAGATCTATGTCTGAGGAAAATTACTTTGGCAACAATGTGGAGGACAGAGTAAAGTTAGGGGAGGTTTGGGGCGATCAAGGTGAGAGGAAAGGAGGGCCTAAATCAAAGTGGTATTTTCGTGACTAGAAAGATAAAGTCAGATGAGAAAAATGCTGTGAAGATAGAAAGGGCAATTATACAATAAAATAATCACAGTTAAGATTTCCAGAGCACTTTAAGGTTTCCAAAGCACTTCACACACACAGGGCGTTCTAAAGGTCTTGGTGCAGTTTGAAGTTTTAATAGCTGTAGATCTAGTTTGATCTTCAATACAACCACATGAGGTGGGTGCCATCATCTTCAATTTACAGAGGAGGTAACTCAAGCTCAGACAGGGCAAGTGACTTGCCCAAAATCACATAGCCAATAAAGGTCTGAGTCAGGATTCAAACCCAGGTCTTCTGACTCCAAGACCAACTCTCTCTATACTGTTATGTCCTGTGGTCTCCCTGATATCTGCACAAACTCCTACACCCAAAACAGATTCAGTCCTGAATCTGGGAAGTATTAAATATGACCATGTGCATATACACACATACACACAATAGAAAAGGTTGAAATAAAGTTATAGGACTTACTACTCTCCCTCTCTACCTTGTGATTATCTGTATTTGTTGTTGTTGTTGTTAGGCAATTGGGGTTAAGTGACTTGCCCAGGGTCACATAGCTAGTAAGTGTCAAGAATTTGGTCTAAGGCCAGAGTTGAAATCAGGTCCTCCTGACTTCAGGGCTGGTGCTCTATCCACTGCATGTATTTGTTCTCTTTATAGTGATTCTTTTTATAATTATATCTGTCCTTCTTTCTCCTTGTGAGTAGGGATCATTTCATTGGTTGTATTTGTATGACCAGCGCCTGGCACAGACCCTGGCACCTGAGAGGTGCTTCTTAAATATTTGTTGATTACTTGAGAAAAGAAAAATTTCCCAGTCAGGTTGGGAGAAAAATCTGAGTAGTCCTCCCTCGATGGCCTCAAAGGATGTTCCCAGAACAATTTTGAAGAGCAAAGAAATAATGTCACCAAGGGGGAGAACCTCCCAAGGAAAGAAACAAGCAAAAGGACACATTCTTTGCCAATTGGCTACTTTATTCACTAATATTTTGACTCATACATGCAGCTTGTCTTTCCTCCTACGTTTCCCCCACCCCACCAGAGACACAAACTGAGAAGACAATCAATCATGAGAAATGTCTCCATAATTTTTCCCTCAGTTGAAATAACCGTATGGTAGCATAGATTTCTCTAGACTGAACGATCCTTGTCCTTGTTAGAATAGATACATGTCAAATTAAAGGAGCTGTTGGGATGCTTGATTTAGGCTGTAGTGGGGGAAGGAAAAGGTAGTCAACGCACTCCCTCTTCTACCTCCCACTCAACTGTACTGCCATATTGTCCATTCCCTTTTTTTGTTGTTGTTTCCCTTCTAAATCCCCTAGGCTGGGGGTACAATGTTCCCCTCCCCACACCCCCTTTCTACCTCCTGTCACATAGAGGATACAAATAGGGGATAGGTGGAGCTGGAGCTGTAACAATAACCTGGGCTTTTCTCTTCACCAAAGGTGCTTAAGACACAAATAAACTACTGAAGGTATCTATGTTGATAGGAAGTAAAAAAGACTAAATAGATGAATATTTAGCATAATAACTAGATTTTTTTTTATTATGGCACAATAATGATGTTCTCTCTTTTAATGTGATTACCAAGTAGCAATCCGTAAGAAACAAAACTGATGGTACAGCTGTCAAGATAATAGATTAATTTTTCAACAGCAAGAATAGCTCTAAAATGTTAAGTAATATTAATTCAGCATAATGGCAGTCTAATCCACCCTAAAGTGAATATGCAACTGCTACAATGATGAGTATAACTATACTATATAACACTTACTATATAATTATAATTTTATGTTATCATGTTACCAGAATATGTATGCTTTGGTACATTTCTAAATAGGTAGCAATGTGATGCAATAAAATGAGGGAGGCATGTTACATAGTCTTGCCCCTCCTCCCACTTAACACTTCCATCTTATCCTTGGAATGCCAGGTTCCATGAAGGGCATTCCCACAATCCAAAAGAAGAAAGATATTTTCCTAAAATACTTTATCTGGTTAGTGGCACAGAACCTAAGTCTCCTAATTCCTAGCCTACGGCCCTTCTCCTCTATAGGCCTCCCTCTCTACCCCACCGGGGATATAGAATCTTGGGTTCTTTTGTTATTAATTTAACACATACCCAACATGACAAACTTAGAATGGTGTTTTCTGAAAACTTAGTCTTTTTTGTTGTTTGAGCTGTACTTGTGGTATTTTGAATATTGCCACACAAGGACTAAAAATCTTTTCTCTCATGTATTAAAGAGTTTAAAGAAACAATGTTAAAATGCCATCTTCTGTTACAATGAAAGGTAGTTGGATGTTTTTCCTCCATATTTACATATAAAGAGTTTTGATCTTGAAAACCAATACTTTACGTTTTAAAAATAGGCAGTCTTTGATGACACAAAGGCAGAGATTTTTTTTGGTTACCTCTGGCCTCTTTTTCTCTGTCTCATAAAGTGAATATTGTTGGCTCTGTCAGAAAGTTCTGGATACTGCTCAACAGACAAGACAAAATAGCCATCATAGCCTTATACCCTCCCAGTGCTCAAAAGTGTGTTGCTTCTCTTCCTCGGTCTGTGATCACAAGTACTAGGACATATAAATCTGAATGTGGATATAGCGGTGCTATGGCAAAGAGCATCTTAGCTGTTCCCCTTAATATTGTAAAAACTACAGGTAAAGTTCTCATAAAAGTTGCACACTACATTAAGGTATTATTTTGAAACAACCTAGTCATTTCAACTAAAGATATATATGCTAAGACACCAGCAATTAAGATAAGAATCATGAAAAAGGTATCACTGGTATTATTTACAGAGGAAGCAATAAGTATTAGTTACACTTGGTAAGCAGCTTGCTCTTGAATATATTTAAATTGTAGGGTATGAAAGAGACTAAAGTCCGAATTGATAAGATTGTAATCTTGCTTATTTACTTTACTTGTTCAGGGTCAGTCCAACTCTAAGTATACCAGGTACTCAACAAAGAATTAGGAACATATGTTAAGGACCTTATTACTACAGAATTTCATAGCAAAGAAAATCATTTTAAGAGTATGGATTGCAAGCAAATTAATAATGAAATAATCTGATAAGCATTTACCCTAAAAATTACAAAATTAGACTAGTTCAACTAAATATTTTATTTCAGTGTATCTAACAAACTCTGGGGCAGCTAGGTCACTACCTAGTACTTGTGGTATTTTGAACACCACAAGTGGATAGAACACCAGGCCTGAAGTCAGGAAGATTCAACCTCATGAGCTCAAATCCGGCCTCAGACATGTACTAGGTGTGTGACCCTGGGCAAGTCACTTAACCCTGTTTGCCTCAGTTTCCTCATCTGTAAAATGAGCTGGAAAAGGAATTGGCAAACCACTCTAGTATCTTTGCCAAGAAAACCCCAAATAGGGTTACAGAATTAGACATGACTGAAAAACGACTGAACACACAACAAACTCTATGTATACTAACCTATTTATCATTGTCACATGTCTCTGCATTGGCACTTCTCTGGACACTCCACTTCCAAGGGTAGGGGGCAAGGCATATGGTGAAGTTTCGTTACCAGACTTGACAGCTTTTTCTCTTAAAAGTGTGGGTTTTTTGCTGTCTCTTTCAGACTCTGAAGAAAATCCTGGTTGTCTGAGTGTTGCTTTTGGTTTTCCTATAAAAGAAGACATACATACAGGATTGCATAAACTTCCTAAAACTCAGGATTCATTATGCCACTCTTAGGCTAATACACAAACTCCTCAATCAAACTTACGTTCAAGGCCCTACCTCGTCCAACCCTCACAAGCCAACCACTTTCCATACTTACTCCACTCCAGATCCCAGCACTGTTCTTCAAAAACACTATCTTCATTACTGCCTCCATATTATTCCTTGGTCTCCCAACCACTTCTGTGACTGCTCCAGCTTAGTACCTGACTCCCCTCACTACTCTAGCCTTTCCCAAAGAACTTTATCTATTAAAGGCCAGGTACAGTCTCAGGAATTGGGATACAAAGAAAAGTGGAGGCATCTTGCCTCAATGAGTTTACATTCTATTGGCAGAAAAAACATGTCCACATGTAATTATATACAAAAGATAGGGATAAGACTTCACTGATATAGGGGACTCCTGAATGAGAAAAATCACTCTACCAATACAGATCAGCACCTTCTCTGCAACTTCTAGTCTTAGAGCACTAGGAATGAAGTCACTTATCCAGGGTCACAAGGCCAGTACAGGTTAGAAGTGTGCTTTCAGCCCATGTCCTCTTTGAGTCAAGACCAGCTCTCCTTCTACTATGCCACACTGCCTCTCATACAAATACATACACAAAAAGAAACTCAAGGTAATACCTGGGGAGAGGTGCTATCAGCTTAGGAATCATAAAAAGTCTCTTCTTTTTTTAAAAATTTACTTATAATTTTATTTTTCCCCCAATTACATGTAAAAACAACTTTTAACATTTTTTTCTAAACATTTGAGTTCCAAATTCTCTCCCTCCCTCATTGAAAAGGCAAGCAATTTGATATAGGTTATACATGTGTAGTCATGAAAAACATATTTCCATATTAGTCATGTTGTAAAAAAGAATACAGATAAGAACAAAACAAAACAAAAGAAAACCCCAAGAAAAATTAAGAAAGTAATAAAGTATGCTTTGATCTACATTCAGACTCTATCACTTCTTTTTCTGGGGATGGATAGCATTTTTCACCTTAAGTATTTCAGAGTTGTCTTGGATCATTGTAATTGCTGAGAATAGCTAAGTCATTCACAGCTGATCATCTTACAATACTGCTATTACTGTGTACAATGTTCTCCTAGTTCTAATCAATTCACTTTACATCAGTTCATGTAAGTCTTTCCAGGTTCTTCTGAGGGCATCCTGCTGATCATTTCTTATAGCACAATAGAAGGGAAAGGTATCTTCTAGGAGCTCTTTGTCACTCTTGGGTACTTCAGAGAAATCACAGCTTTTTAATGCTTAAAGACCTTAGAGATCATCTGGTCCGATATCCTCATGTTGGAAATGACAAACTGAGCAACTCAAAGAGGAGAAAGGTCTATCCATGGTCATGAACAAAGTCAACAGCAGCATGAGCATGAACCCAAGTCTTCTGGCTGCATTTCACTATACTGCTGACTGTTCTGACTGACTATACTATTCAATGCTGAGACTAAAATAAGTACTTAAATGCTATTGATCTCGCATGCTCCATGTAATTCCAGATTTTGTAAAAAAAAAAATACAAGTTTTACTTCTAAAAAAATTTATAATTTGCCAAATAAAATCTTAAATCAGAAATCTTGGGAGTCAGCCTCTAGTACTCTAGCTGATGCTTAAAAACAAAACCCATAATAATAAAAATACAAGGCTTTACAACCTATCTGGAGTTACTTCCAATTTCTTTTTGTTTTATCAGAAACCAATCTTCAAAAAAAATCACATCAAATTTACTTTATAACAATTTTCAAATGAAATTACTGACTTCAGGCATTTTTCTTTGAAATGATCCAAAATAAATATGTTAATGCCAGCTAGAATTTGAAAGTATTCATCCTGATCATGAATTTTTTTTCTATACAATTAACCATCTGTAGACAAAGTCTGACATCCAGTACATAAGACAACTTACCTTCTAGGAAAAATGGCGTGGTTTTCTTCACTCTCATCTGGCAATTCACCTGCCTTCCTGTTTTTCTTTTTGAACTCCTCTGGCGTGCTACCAGTTGAGCAATCCGGGCTGTCTCTGTGCAGGCCACAGCATAGCAAGTTATCTGCTTGTAGGAAGCAAGGAAAAAAATTTGAGACTTAAAATTTCCTAGGAGTAAGTCAAACAAGTACACCTCAATAAAAGTATACACATACAAATTATGGAATATTCCTCTTATTTACTCTCAATGATATCAATCCAGCAAAAATACATTTTTCAGCATATTTAATAACTGTCTTTCCCAAAAAGCTGTATTCATTTCATTTCTTAGTTTCAGAATCAGATCACAGTGTTGCTCTTCATATACAATGACAATAGTGCTGGATGGCTAGTAATAGACACCATGGTTACATCGAGTCATTTTTTTCCAATAGCAGTCATGGCTTTTTACTGATTTCTCTCTTTTTATCTGGTCCCCCTTGTAACACAGCTCTGCAAGATAGCACAATGGGACAGTTTGTGGCCATGAAATACAATGAAGCCAACTGGGTCATTCAGGAAATAATAATAATAATAATAATACTAACAACAACAACAAACACTTACATAGGCCTTCAAGGGCTGCAAAGCCCTTGATCCTCACAACAACCCTATTAGATAGCTGTTGTGATTATTTCCATTTTACAAATTAGGAAAACAAGACTGAGAGAGGTTACAACGCAGAATGAAAATAGGTCAATTTCATCACCAGTGGGCCCTTAGCTTCTTAAGTCCCCAGTTATTAAGTCCACATAAAATACCTACCACTTGGAAGGGAATTTCCTTCAGGAATACTAACTAGCTATCAAGAACCATACACGCTCATATTACTTCCTATGCTTTGTCAGCTAATCTGCTTTGCTCTTCAGACTTTTTATAGTACTAACATTAACTTAAGCCTCAACAGTCTCGTGATACAATCAAGTACACTTAGGTTTACATTATCTACATCACATTTTAAAATTCACTTTTAAAATCAGTTGAAAGGCAATTTTAAAATTCTGACGTCCACAAAAGTGAAAGCTTACCAATATCTTGATATTACTAATAATTACTTATTGATTGCCCTATTATCAAACCAAGAACAAAGGATGAGAGGTTCTAGATTGTGCTTTATGTGCTAATCATAGATGCACCCCATTTAGTTATCTGCTCTATCACTGCTGAGTTCAAGCCATTTGTTGAAAAATATCAGTAACTTAAGTTATAAGTGAAAAATATGCAAGAAAAATGACTAATGGGAGTCCCTAATATAGTATTAAAAAAAGCTCATCTTAAGCTGCATTAACAGAAATATCAGGCACAGAATAAGGAAAGTGTCAGTCTTATTCTCATAGTGAGCAGAACCCTGCTCTCATTGAGACACATCCAAAGAGGAAGAAGCTTCTTCTGGGCACCCCATTTAAGAAGTGACAATGGCACTCTAGCAAACCAGCAGAGTGGTAAGAGGACACAGAACCACATCCCTACAAAGATCTGCTGGAGCACTGGCTCTTTTTTAAGCCTGGACAAGAGAAGACTTAAGGGGAACAGGACAGTAGTCTTCAAATATTTGAAGGGTTGTAAAAGAGGATTAGACTTATCCTATTTGGTCATTCAGGGCAAAATTGGAATTAAAGGATACAAATTACAGTAAAGAATATCAAATCTCATTATAGAAAAAATATATACCCAAGTCCTTAACAATTACAGTTGTCCAAAAACAAAAAGTAGCACCCATGGTACCTCATTTATCATATGTAAAATGTATTTATGGTCACTGTATGACCCTTTGTTGGGGATGTTTTACAAGGAATTTGTACTTTGAATGAGTGTTGGGCTAGATCATTATTTCTCAACTCAAACTATACTGCAGAACAAAATAAAATACATAAAAATTCTCAGTCATGGATTATTTCACATTCAGTCAGTTCACTTTTAGACTCCAGTGTGAGTGATCAGCTCAGGATGTGAGGACCAGGAACCAAAGAAAAAGACAGACAGAGCAGTGGAAGGAAAAGGAAAGAAAAGAAAGAGGATAACATTCATTTTTGAAAACTCACACGTTTTTAAAATGTAATCACTTGGAAGTAAAATTTTAAGGACTAGTAAAAATTTGGACTAGAGGACCTCTGTGATTCTTTCCAACTCTTTAAGTCTATTGATGGTTCTGTGAACTTTTGAGAAGTTAAGTTTTCATTTAATTTATATGGCATATATATGTATATATGTGCAATTACCTTCTTACCTCTCCAGATCTACTGATCTCTATTCTGACAACTGCTGGCACACTTCTCAGATATGCCTCTAATGTAGGATATCCTAGTTGTTTGAATGGGATCCAATCACCAGTCAAGGATTTGTATTCCCCTTGTAGACGGGGTAATGCTATTCCATTCTTATGGGATTGCAGAACAGCTCGAAGCATCTTTGCAACCAAGTCTGCTTCCAGCATCTTCACCTGTAATTAAGTAGAAGAGAAAATCATGGCAATACAGTTCATCATTCCATAAATTTACAATTAGAAAGGAATTGACACATAAGTTGTAAAGCATGAAAGAGCTTACACAGGAGCTATTAATAGTGGCTATTCTACCATTAGAACAAATCCATTTCTTCTTGGTTTTGTGGGCAGGAAGTCTACCAATACTCCATTAGTTGTTGGCACACTATTCTGTACCTAGTCTTCTCCTCCTCTTGCTTCAGCTGCTTTCACAGAAAACGGATGCTATATCACAGGAGAGAAGGAACAGCCCTTTCTTGTTCTGAAGATGGTAACTTCTTCAGTTATGTGAAAGGGAAAGGAATCAAATGATTGGGTAAGGGTCAGGACAGAGCTATAGTTTCATTGCCCATCACACCAAAGAAGCATATTCTAAACCCTCCAGCTCCTATCATACACATTCTATGAGGTTGTTCTGTTATTATGTCACTATCTTATTATACACTATATCATGTCTCCCCAGTTTACTTCAACATTTCAAGGAATCCTCAAGGGTAGTCTATAACCTAAATTCCTACAAGAAGCCAAACTCCAAGCAACTGAAAAACTAAGCAGTGTCTGTAGAAGAGATAATGAACTATGCCTCCCTTCCCCATAGCAGGGAGGTGAGGAGAGAGGATACTGTATTAGGGCTGAATGTTATGTAAACTGCCATATGTGGTCACTACATTGGATATTTTTGTTTTCTTTATCACAATGGAGGGCTTCCCCCATCCCCCTCCATCTTGACATGACCGTGATATGAAGAAAAAAGGTACCAATAAAACTTAACTTAGAAAATAATATTTCAAGAATTTGTAAACTTTGTCAGCATGTTCACACCTTTTCCCCTCTTTCTATAGCACATTATTCATGGATACACCTTTCATCAACACATATCACGACGCCTCTAATCTAGAAGTCTGTCAGAGTTCATCACACTGAAGTCAACCTGGTGATGACCCTCCCTCTCTTGAGTTTCACTAGGCTGGTACTCAGATAAAAGGTAAGTCCATCACTGGGCCCATACTTGAAGCCTTTCCATTCCTACTTATATAAAATAGACTTCTACTGGTTGTGATTTTTCAAAGGACTTACCTAGTTTTTAAATACATAAACTGACATTTTAGTAGAATGAAGAACTGGTTTTCAAACAATACTCCAATACTTCATTGTATTTCATTGATGTGGAATTTCTACCACTGATGCAGATCAAAAACTCTCTATGCTTATCCAACCTGTGCAACTCTTTATCAGTTTCCTTCCGTAAGTTTACAACATGAAATCCACCAAATTTACCAGACATACTCTTTCCACTTTCCTGACATTATAAGCATACCCATGTAGTCTGCTATCCATTGACTATCCCTCACTTTCACCATGTGACCAATACATCTCTTTCAATTTATACATTTTCTCTGATGATGTCCTTTATATGATACATCTCGCCTGAATGAATCTTTGTTTGTAAAGTGCTCAGACCCACAATTTACCTCTCCATTACCCTTTTGGGATGTTCAACTTTGTAGCCACACATCTTCCATGGAATAATACTGCTATTTAAAACATAAGCCTTTGTTTCACGAGAAAGCTTGAGGTCATTAGAGGAACTATGCAACTTCCCAAAGACAATCTAGACTGCTGTCTAGAATGTCTGTTCAATTCTTGGGTCAACTCACAATATTTATTTGTACTATCTATGGAAGATAAATATACTTTTAGAAGAGCTCTATAGATTATCTATCTGAACCAGATTAAAATGTAACTGAGAAATGTTTAACAAAATAAATGAAAATACAGCACAACATAAGGTGAATCTGTGGTTTTCTAAGTCAACACGTGATGCCAGGGCTCTATTTCTACCTTGAATTTGACATAATTAGTCTACATGATAGGCATTCTTCATCATTTGGTTTTTCTAGAGAAAGAGATAGGCCAAACTCTTTTGCTCAAATACAATATGAGCTAAACCAGCCAAGCACTTTTTGAGGATGGAGACCTTTTTTTTTTCTATTTTTGTATCCTCAGTGCTTAGCCCAATTTCTGACCTATAACTTCTGACACTTCAATGGATTAGACTTGTAATTTCATTGATGTAAGTAAGTATTTCTCCAGCAGCAAAGATCACAACCCATCCTTGTCCATGAACTCCTATAAATTTTCCACAGGTTGTGAATCAAATAAGTTTTGAGGGGCGGGAGAACATATGAATACAACATGGCTGTCCCTCTTTTCCCTCACTCTCACTAGATAACTGGTCCCTTATTTTTCCAGTCACACACTCCTTTTGATATTCTTTATGGCTTTTTCCTCTCCATATATTTTGTCATGAGCAATATATGGCACACCTATTTTTGTCTGCTATAAGTCTCTCCACTGTCCTTTGAGTGATCCACATTTTGATTCCTTAGCAATTGCTGTACTGTATGATCTACGGTCACATAACATGATTGGAAGAACACCAGTATTAAAAAAAAGTGATGGATTTTCTGTTTCAGGGAAAAGGGTGGTACCAGTAAGTGAAAGTGCTCTAAAATTTCCCAAATGAAATTCATCCTGTTTCCTTTCCTTTATTCAATTTTAGGTCCAGTTACTCTCTGGCCATCTTCAAGTCATTCCTTCCAATGACCTCTTCAGCTCTAGTCCTGGAGCACTGCACTCTGAATGGTGAGAGCTCTCCATAACTAGCTGCTTTTTTCTGGCAAGCTATGCATAACAAATCAATTCTGTCCTTCCTTTAAAGGAAGTATCAATCAACTACTGTAGGGATCAATCACCACCCTAGGGATTTCTCAGTCCAAAATACTGTCCCCTGACCACCACTCTTCTGCAAGTGTTGTTTTTCCCCCTCTTCCTTTCTCCATGCCAGCAGCAGTGCGTCCATCAGGTATCTAGTCAGTCCATCCAACTGCATATTGTAGTTTGGACAAGACACATCTTCGCCCACTTAAGTTTTCCTTCTGTGCATAGCATGAGCTTCTTTGAGTGGTTATGGATCTCATTTAGGAAGCTTTGGTGTGTTCCAGGGCCTGATGCAATCATTACCATGCCATCCACAAAAAGACTGCACCACTTACAGAGAATCTATCTTGCACGTGGATTCTATGCTATATATACTCCATGACAGTAACAATCACTTTTAGTAGGTATATGCCTCCTTATTTTATGCTTCTCTTGATATTAGTAACTAGAGTGCCAAAGTTCTTCATTAAATCTGTCAAGAAAACTAAGCTTCTGACATATACATGGGAAAACGCTTTCTCAGAGAAAGGCCCTTAAAGTAGTATTTTTACCCTATCAATCAAAGGGATTTTTTAAACTAGTCAACAAACAATAAGCATAGTGGGATCTTATATTCTCTACACTAAGTCAAATGTGTGACTATAAAGTTATGGTCTACCGGAGAATGTCAGAATTTTTTTTTAAGTCCTCAACTTTTCACCAGGAATATCCTTGATATATGTGTACACTATCATCGTAAAGACATTGTAGAGATGAAAAAGTAGGCACGTGGTTGGTAATTATAATTTCCATTGTTTTCTTTTAGTGGCAATAAAATCTACATTTCCCCCACAATTATTCAGTATCTTTCTCTCTTTTCAAATTTCTTAAGAATCGATTCCTCAGTTTCTTCAAAAGTGTGTTGCCTTCGGTCTGGACTTCTGTGAATAATTGGTCTGGTTCAGCTGTTCTTACTATCCTTTTTTATTAGTGCTACTTTGATTTCCTTAGGCAGTTTCAATCCAAACAGTTTGTTGATATTAACATATGTTTTCCCTTTTCATTTTGCTTTTTGTCCTTCCTGTAACATCTTTAAATGTTCTTGTGATGATATGACATAGCTTGTTCTCATACCACGCCTTCTTGGCTGGCCACTAGGTGATGATTTGTGTGGCCATGACAAGCCATGAAACAAAATGGCCTTGCACATCACTGACACTTAGTAAATGTCTGTTAAAGTGAACCAAACTCATCTTTCCTAGACTCCCAACTACCTCCTCCCATTTAGAAACCCGGCTGCCACAGACATTTCAAACTCAACATTTCCGAGAAAGAACCCACTATTTCTCCCCTAAACCCAGACTTTTACCAGTCTTTGAAGGACATCTACTCCTTCTAGTCTACCAGGCCTTCAATCTCAGCATTATTCCTGAATCCTCACTCTTCCTCACCCCATCTATCCAATCCATGGCCAAATCTTGCCATGTCTAGCTTCACAATACTTCTTGTATTTGTCCTCTTCTCACTACTCTTATACAACCACAACCTTAGCTTAGGCCTTCATTACCTTTCACCTAGACTATTGCAATGGCCTCCCTAATTGCTCCATGCCTTAAGTTTCTCCCCAAACCAAACCATCTTTGACATAAGTACTAAAGTAAATGCAGATATGACTAGGTTACTCCTGTACTCAAGGGCTCCAGGGACTTCCTATTGCCTCTAGAATAAAATATAAATTTGTCTGTTTTTAGTGGCCTTGATGCGCTGGACTCAACCTATTTTTCTAGCTTATTTATAAATTATTCCCCCTTTCTGAACTTATGGTTAGGCCAGACTGTCCTTACTGTTCTTCAGGCACAATAACACTCCACCCCTCTTCTCTGTGTCTTTGCACTGGCTCTACCCAAGTCTGTTGCACATTTTCTCTCCTTACTTCCACGCCTCACTGAACCTTTCACTTCCTTCAAGCCTCAGTTCAAGCACCACCTTCTACATGAAGACTTTACTGATCCCCACACCTGTCTGTTCCCTCCATCTCTAACTGCTTTGTATTTAACTACCTTATATATTTATTTTATATTTATTACATAATTTTACATATTACATACAATATATACTATTATATATTTATATTTATTATACAATAGAAATGAGAAAGGATGGCTTAGTGGACAGACAGCTAGCCTTGAAGCTAGGAAGATCTGGGTTCAAGTCTTTAAACATCTTGGGACTCCAGGCAACTCTAAGTCGTGGAGAAG